ACACACACACACATAAGGAACTACCTAACAGGAAGGAGCCAGAGAGTTACGGTAAGGGGCGTGAAGTCGGACTGGCGAACAGTAACAAGTGGAGTACCTCAAGGATAGGTGCTGGGACCAATTCTATTTCTAATATATGTTATATATGTTAACGACATGTTTACAGGAGTAGAGTCCTATATGTTGATGTTCACGGATGACGCAAAGTTGATGAGAAGAGTTGTGACAGATGACGATTGCAGGATACTCCAAGAGGACCTGAACAGGTTGCAGAGATAGTCAGAGATATGGCTACTGGAGCTCAAAACGAGCAAATGTAAAGTTATGGAAATGGGACTAGTTGATAGGAAACCAAAGGGACAGTACACAATGAAGGGGAACAGCCTACCTGTGACGACGCGAGAAAGAGACCTGGGTGTGGACGTAACACCTAATCTATCTCCTGAGGCACATATAAATGGGATAACGACAGCAGCGTACTCTACACTGGCAAAAGTTAGAACATCATTCAGAAACCTAAGTAAAGAGGCATTTAGGGCGCTTTACACTGCCTACGTGAGGCCAGTCTTAGAGTATGCTGCACCATCATGGAGTCCCCATCTGAAGAAACACACAAGGAAACTGGAAAAGGTTCAGAAGTTTCCAACGAGGCTCGTCCCTGCGTTACGAGGGATAGGGTATGAAGAGCGCCTGAAGGAACTGAGCCTTACGATACTAGAAAAGAGAAGGGAGAGGGGAGATATGATAGGAACGTATAAAATACTCAGGGAATTGACATAGTGGACATAGACGAAATGTTCACACGGAATAGTAACAGAACGAGGGGACATGGGTGGAAGCTGGAAACTCAGAGGAGTCACAGAGATGTTAGGAAGTTTTCTTTTAGCGTGAGAGTTGTGGAAAAATGGAATGCACTTAAGGAGCAGGTTGTGGAAGCAAATTCTATTTATAATTTTAAAACCAGGTATGATAGGGAAATAGGACCGGAGTCATTGCTGTAAACAACCGATGCTCGAAAGGCGGGATCCAAGAGTCAATGCTCGATCCTGCAGACACAAATAGGTGAGTACACACACACAAGTATATGTTGTGTGTGATGGCTACTAATGTTCACTCCAAGAAAATATAAGGAAAATGAAACCAGGCGGTGGAAACAGGAACCCAGACACATTATACAGGATGGGAGATGAAGTCCTTCATGAAACGGACAGAGAGAAAGATCCAGGAGTTGATATCACACCAAACCTGTCTCCTGAAGCCCACATCAAAAAATAAAATCGGCGGCATATGCAAGGCTAACTAACATCAGAACTGCCTTCAGAAACCTGTTCAAGGAATCATTCAGAACCTTGTATACCACATATGTAAGACCAGTCCTGGAGTATGCGGCCCAAGCATGGAGCCCGTACCATGTCACTTTGTCAAGCACAAGACGAAGGTGAAAAAAATCAGAGGTATGCCACTAGGCTAGTCCCAGAAGTAAGAGGCATAAGTTACGAGGAAAGGCTGCGTTAACTGCCCCTCACGTCGCTGGAAGACAGAAGAGCTCGGGGAGACATGATCACCATATACAAAGTTCTCAGGATTTTTTGTATTATTATTATATTCTACCACAGACGTGGCCACACATCTACAGTGTTAATTAGCATATATACATTTTCTTCTGTCCTCCATGGACAGGGTGAAAGATTTGTCAAGCATACAGTTCAGAGATTTACTGAACAACCACAGAAGGTGATCGTAGTGCTTTTAAAATGTTAGGCTCAGCTACATACGTAAATACATAGATACACAGATTTATGAATGCATTAATGTGAATTTATAATGGTGAAATGTAATTCTGATCAGCTTTATACTCTATACACATACATACACACACACATACATACATACATACATACATACATACATACATATATACATACATACATACATACATACATACATACATACATACATACATACATACATACATATATACATACATACATACATACATACATACATATATACATACATACATACATACATACATACATACATACATACATACATACATACATACATACATACATACATACATACATTCACACACATACATACATATATACACATACATACACATATATTTGTCTCTTTTACTCTGACAGGGTGAGTTAGCTGACAAGAGAAACTAGTGTGCAATTAAGAACTTAACCACTGAAGGTGATTAAGATGCTTTTACATGCTCAGGTTATATAGTTACATTACATGGTCAACCTTGGATACAAGTCCAATATATCATCAAGTGTTCCAGTACTCATATAGTAGTTACAGAGTTCAGCATACCTCAGCCCAGGAGGGCGAAAGTCAGTCAGTATGGGACATTCTACAATATAATGTTCAAGTGAGTGCATGTTTTCTCTTTCACAAAGTTGACACATTCTGTACTCGACATTTGGGTTTTGAGAAAGCTGCCAGATACGTCTATATCCCAGGCGTATTCTGGCCACTATAACATCACATTGCCTTGACAGGATAGACAAGGATGGAATATTTAACACGGGTGGCACACGCACAAGGGGACACAGGTGGAAACTGAGTACCCAAATGAGCCACAGAGACGTTAGAAAGAACCTTTTCAGTGTCAGAGTAGTTAATAAATGGAATGCACTAGAAAGTGATGTGGTGGAGGCTGACTCCATTCACAGTTTCAAGTGTAGATATGATAGAGCCCAGTAGGCTCAGGAATCTGTACACCTGTTGATTGACAGTTGAGAGGCAGGACCAAAGAGCCAGAGCTCAACCCCCCGCAAGCACAATTAGGTGAGTACACAAACACACGGGCAAACAAATAACAATAACACGACCAAAAACACTGAGCAATAGACAATGAAGACTATACATGTATATTCATACACAGACAGACACAGACAGACACAGACAGACACAGACAGACACAGACAGACACAGACTGACACACACAGAGGTAAACCAGGCGGCCTTGGAGGAGTTCGAAATTACGAGAGAGGAGGTCAAGAGACACCTGCTGGATCTGGATGTTAGAAAGGCGGTTGGTCCAGATGGGATCTCACCATGGGTACTGAAAGAGTGTGCAGAGGCACTTTGCTTGCCACTCTCCATAGTGTATAGTAAATCACTAGAGACGGGAGACCTACCAGAAATATGGAAGACGGCGAATGTGGTCCCAATATACAAAAAGGGCGACAGACAAGAGGCACTGAACTACAGGCCAGTGTCCTTGACTTGTATACCATGCAAGGTGATGGAGAAGATCGTGAGAAAAAACCTGGTAACACATCTGGAGAGAAGGGACTTCGTGACAAATCGCCAACATGGATTCAGGGAGGGTAAATCTTGCCTTACAGGCTTGATAGAATTCTACGATCAGGTGACACAGATTAAGCAAGAAAGAGAGGGCTGGGCGGACTGCATTTTCTTGGATTGTCGGAAAGCCTTTGACACAGTACCGCATAAGAGGCTGGTACATAAGCTGGAGAGACAGGCAGGTGTAGCTGGTAAGGTGCTCCAGTGGATAAGGGAGTATCTAAGCAATAGGAAGCAGAGAGTTACGGTGAGGGGTGAGACCTCCGATTGGCGTGAAGTCACCAGTGGAGTCCCACAGGGCTCTGTACTCGGTCCTATCTTGTTTCTGATATATGTAAATGATCTCCCGGAGGGTATCGATTCATTTCTCTCAATGTTTGCGGACGATACTAAAATTATGAGAAGGATTAAAACAGAAGAGGACTGTTTGAGGCTTCAAGAAGACCTAGACAAGCTGAAGGAATGGTCGAACAAATGGTTGTTAGAGTTTAACCCAACCAAATGTAATGTAATGAAGATAGGTGTAGGGAGCAGGAGGCCAGATACAAGGTATCATCTGGGAGAGGAAATTCTTCAGGAGTCAGAGAAGGAAAAAGACTTGGGGGTTGATATCACGCCAGACCTGTCTCCTGCAGCACATATCAAGCGGATAACATCAGCGGCATATGCCAGGCTGGCCAACATACGAACGGCATTCAGAAACTTGTGTAAAGAATCATTCAGAACTTTGTATACCACATATGTCAGGCCAATCCTGGAGTATGCAGCCCCAGCATGGAGTCCATATCTAGTCAAGGATAAGACTAAACTGGAAAAGGTTCAAAGGTTTGCCACCAGACTAGTACCCGAGCTGAGAGGTATGAGCTACGAGGAGAGACTACGGGAATTAAACCTCACTTCGCTGGAAGACAGAAGAGTTAGGGGGGACATGATCACCACATTCAAGATTCTGAAGGGGATTGATAGGGTAGATAAAGACAGTCTATTTAACACAAGGGGAACACGCACAAGGGGACACAGGTGGAAACTGAGTGCCCAAATGAGCCACAGAGATATTAGAAAGAACTTTTTTAGTGTCAGAGTGGTTGACAAATGGAATGCATTAGGGGGTGATGTGGTGGAGGCTGACTCCATACACAGTTTCAAGTGTAGATATGACAGAGCCCGATAGGCTCAGGAATCTGTACACCTGTTGATTGACGGTTGAGAGGCGGGACCAAAGAGCCAGAGCTCAACCCCCGCAAACACAACTAGGTGACAACTAGGTGAGTACAGACACAGACAGACACAGACAGACACAGACTGACACACACAGACACACACAGACACAGACAGACACAGACTGACACACACAGACACAGACAGACACAGACAGACACAGACTGACACACACAGACACAGACAGACACAGACAGACACAGACTGACACACACAGACACACACAGACACAGACAGACACAGACTGACACACACAGACACAGACAGACACCAACAACACGACGCAGATACCAACAACATTTTCAGTCCCAACACTGACATAGGAACGATAAATTAAGACAAATATAAGAACACAACTTTATAGGAGGGATCTCTTCTTTCATATGTGTTTTGTTTACCTAAAATGGCCAAGGTAAGCCCCCCCTCATTTGCATATGTGATTTACATATGTGTGGATGTGGTTGGTAAGCTTCCCCTCCCCCCAACGACCAGTTAGTCGCCCCACCGTCCCCCAACGACCAGCCAGCCTCCTCCACCGTCCCCCAACGACCAGCCAGCCTCCTCCACCGTCCCCCAACGACCAGCCAGCCTCCTCCACCGTCCACCAACGACCAGCCAGCCTCTCCACCGTCCACCAACGACCAGCCAGTCTCCTCCACCGTCCACCAACGACCAGCCAGCCTCCTCCACCGTCCCCCAACGACCAGCCAGCCTCCTCCACCGTCCACCAACGACCAGCCAGCCTCTCCACCGTCCACCAACGACCAGCCAGTCTCCTCCACCGTCCACCAACGACCAGCCAGCCTCCTCCACCGCCCACCAACGACCAGCCAGCCTCTCCACCGTCCACCAACGACCAGCCAGCCTCCTCCACCGTCCACCAACGACCAGCCAGCCTCCTCCACCGTCCACCAACGACCAGCCAGCCTCCTCCACCGTCCACCAACGACCAGCCAGCCTCTCCACCGTCCACCAACGACCAGCCAGCCTCCTCCACCGTCCACCAACGACCAGCCAGCCTCCTCCACCGTCCACCAACGACCAGCCAGCTTCTCCACCGTCCACCAACGACCAGCCAGCCTCCTCCACCGTCCACCAACGACCAGCCAGCTTCTCCACCGTCCACCAACGACCAGCCAGCCTCCTCCACCGTCCACCAACGACCAGCCAGCCTCCTCCACCGTCCACCAACGACCAGCCAGCCTCCTCCACCGTCCACCAACGACCAGCCAGCCTCCCCACCGCCCACCAACGACCAGCCACCTCCCCCCCCCCTCCGTCCCACCAAGTAGGACTACAACGCGCCATTTTGGGAGAATGGGTCTCTTGTTTATACGTGTCCCGCTAATTACCTCTCTCTACATTAACATTTATATATTTTTTGTTAACGTCGTGAATGGAATTGCCTTCAACAACGTCTTACCTTCAGTCCTTTCCAGCTGGTGACCTCTCGTGCAGGGAACGGGTTCTTCCTAATGTCTCCGTGTCTACGTGTCCTCTGATGTCCCCTTGCCCTACCTCTTTCTTATTCTAAATAGGCTTTCATTGTCCAATTTGTCTATTCCCCCTCGGTATCTTGTATGTGGTGATCATAACCGCTCTGTTTCTTCTCTCCTCTAAGATTGTGAGGGTGAATCTCCTAAGATAGTCCTCACAGCTGAAAAGCTTCTCAGTTCTGGTACTATTCTAGTTGCAAACTTCTGAACTTTCTCAAGTTTCCTTTCTGTGCTTCACGAGGTGTGGGTTCCATGCTGGTGATGCATACTTAATTAACGGATTCACATACTCCGTTTGTGTGAACTTGAAAGTCTCATCATTTTGATTCTTAAATAACATTCTTATGTTTAGTAACTTCCCACGTGGGTCTGGTGTGATCTTGTCTGGTGTGATCTTGTAGTGTTAGTGTTGGGATGATGTCTTCTCCCAGGTCTTTTTTCCCTTATTGTTTCCAGTAACTGCCTTCCTCCTTTTGGTGTAATTAAATACAAATCTTCTATCCCCCTCTTACCCATTTTCATTTCAGTTAATTGGACTGAATGCCACCTGCCCACACCTGACGCTGGTCAAGGTGTGGGCAGCTACCCGCCCTCCTCATACCTCTCACCATGTTACCTGGTTGGTTGATACCTGGTTGATGGGGTTCTGGGAGTTCTTCTACTCCCCAAGCCCGGCCCGAGGCCAGGCTTGACTTGTGAGAGTTTGGTCCACTAGGCTGTTGCTTGGAGCGGCCCGCAGGCCCACATACCCACCACAGCCCGATTAGTCCGGCACTCCTTGGAGGAAACAATCTAGTTTTCTCTTGAAGATGTCCACGGTTGTTCCGGCAATATTTCTTATGCTCGCTGGGAGGGTGTTGAACAACCGCGGACCTCTGATGTTTATACAGTGTTCTCTGATTGTGCCTATGGCACCCCTGCTCTTCACTGGTTCTATTTTACATTTTCTTCCATATTGTTCACTCCAGTACGTTGTTATTTTACTGTGTAAATTTGGTACTTGGCCCTCCAGTATCTTCCAGGTGTATATTATTTGATATCTCTCTCCTCTTCTTTCTAGTGAGTACATTTGGAGGGCTTTGAGACGATCTTTGAGATATATGCTGACATATACTTTACCCAAGGCCAACACCCATGTACTGAAAATGGCAACGGCTCGCAAAGTTGACGTGATGTCCCTTTTTCTGTTGGTGGGTCCTCGGGATGGTTAGATTCGGGCACTTTTGTACAAGAATTTAGCGAGGCTGGAACGCTCAGGAGGACGGCTGCCTGCAACCCCACGGGGTCCTGTGCAGTTGTTGCTCTCCTCACTAACTGTGCATCATCTACAAACACCAACATGTACGAGGCTCTCCCACTGAGAGATTATTTACATAAATGGTGCTACGAGCCCTCTGGACTACCACTTCCCACTCCTCTCCAGCCTCACATATCTTCACTGTGATCCTCTGTTTCCTGTGTCAAGTATCCAGTACCCATTTCACTGCCTTTCCTGTTATCCTCACTTATCTCTCTCTCTCTCTCTCTCCATCTTCCGTATGAGTTTTTTTGTGAGGGAACTGTATCAAAAGCTTTCTGAGTCTAGGAACATGCAGTCTACCCATCCTTCCTTTTCGTGTCTTATTTTGTGGACCCAGTCATACAATTCAGTCAAGTTTGTTAAGTATTTTTTTCTTCTCTGAAGCCCTGTTATGCCTCTGTTATAAAATTGACTCTTCCCCCAAATGTTCTATAATCCTTTTTCTGAAGACTTTTTCAGCATCTTGCAAGGAATGCAAGTTAATGACACTGGCCTAATGTTTCATGACTGTCATCTTTCTTGAACATTGCAATTGCATTTTGCCTTTTCCAGATTTCTGGTAGTTCTCCTGCCTCTTGTGTAATGTTGAACTCTACAGGTAATAGGCAAGACAAAAAGATCCGTACAGTCTCCTTCAGTAACCATGGTGATATCTGGTGCGGTCTCACTTCTATATCAGGAGGATCTGCTACATCCAGGTCCTCCAGGTGGCTTTCTACCTCTTCTACATAACTTTAATTCTGTCTAGTGCTGTTTCTGGTCGACTGTTGCCAGGTTTCCTTGAACAACATTGTGACTTGTTTACTTGCTGGGATCTTTGGTTGAGTTCTTCACACACTTCTTTGTCATTCTAGAGAGTGTCTCTAGACTCCTCTATATGTCCCCTCAGTCTGATCACATGCTCTATTACCCTTGTTTGCCTCCATACATGGCTATGCATAAGCTTAGTGTGTGTGTGTGTGTGTGTGTGTGTGTGTGTGTGTGTGTGTGTGTGTGTGTGTGTGTGTGTGTGTGTGTGTGTGTGTGTGTGTGTGTGTGTGTGTGTACTCACCTAGTACTCACCTAGTTGTGTTTGCGGGGGTTGAGCTCTGGCTCTTTGGTCCCGCCTCTCAACCGTCAATCAACAGGTGTACAGATTCCTGAGCCTATCGGGCTCTGTCATATCTACACTTGAAACTGTGTATGGAGTGAGCCTACACCACATCACCCCCTAATGCATTCCATTTGTCAACCACTCTGACACTAAAAAAGTTCTTTCTAATATCTCTGTGGCTCATTTGGGCACTCAGTTTCCACCTGTGTCCCCTTGTGCGTGTTCCCCTTGTGTTAAATAGACTGTCTTTATCTACCCTATCAATCCCCTTCAGAATCTTGAATGTGGTGATCATGTCCCCCCTAACTCTTCTGTCTTCCAGCGAAGTGAGGTTTAATTCCCGTAGTCTCTCCTCGTAGCTCATACCTCTCAGCTCGGGTACTAGTCTGGTGGCAAACCTTTGAACCTTTTCCAGTTTAGTCTTATCCTTGACTAGATATGGACTCCATGCTGGGGCTGCATACTCCAGGATTGGCCTGACATATGTGGTATACAAAGTTCTGAATGATTCTTTACACAAGTTTCTGAATGCCGTTCGTATGTTGGCCAGCCTGGCATATGCCGCTGATGTTATCCGCTTGATATGTGCTGCAGGAGACAGGTCTGGCGTGATATCAACCCCCAAGTCTTTTTCCTTCTCTGACTCCTGAAGAATTTCCTCTCCCAGATGATACCTTGTATCTGGCCTCCTGCTCCCTACACCTATCTTCATTACATTACATTTGGTTGGGTTAAACTCTAACAACCATTTGTTCGACCATTCCTTCAGCTTGTCTAGGTCTTCTTGAAGCCTCAAACAGTCCTCTTCTGTTTTAATCCTTCTCATAATTTTAGCATCGTCCGCAAACATTGAGAGAAATGAATCGATACCCTCCGGGAGATCATTTACATATATCAGAAACAAGATAGGACCGAGTACAGAGCCCTGTGGGACTCCACTGGTGACTTCACGCCAATCGGAGGTCTCACCCCTCACCGTAACTCTCTGCTTCCTATTGCTTAGATACTCCCTTATCCACTGGAGCACCTTACCAGCTACACCTGCCTGTCTCTCCAGCTTATGTACCAGCCTCTTATGCGGTACTGTGTCAAAGGCTTTCCGACAATCCAAGAAAATGCAGTCCGCCCAGCCCTCTCTTTCTTGCTTAATCTGTGTCACCTGATCGTAGAATTCTATCAAGCCTGTAAGGCAAGATTTACCCTCCCTGAATCCATGTTGGCGATTTGTCACGAAGTCCCTTCTCTCCAGATGTGTTACCAGGTTTTTTCTCACGATCTTCTCCATCACCTTGCATAGTATACAAGTCAAGGACACTGTATGTGTGTGTGTGTGTGTGTGTGTGTGTGTGTGTGTGTGTGTGTGTGTGTGTGTGTGTGTGTGTGTGTGTGTGTGTGTGTGTGTGTGTGTGTGTGTGTACTCACCTAGTTGTACTCACCTAGTTGTGTTTGCGGGGGTTGAGCTCTGGCTCTTTGGTCCCGCCTCTCAACCGTCAATCAACAAGCAATCAACAAGTGTGTGTGTGTGTGTCTGTGTGTATGTGTGTGTGTGTGTGTGTGTGTGTGTGTGTGTGTGTGTGTGTGTGTGTGTGTGTGTGTGTGTGTGTGTGTGTGTGTGTGTGTGTGTGTGTGTGTGTATGTGTGTGTGTGTGAGTGTGTGTGTGTGTGTGTGTGTGTGTGTGTGTGTGTGTGTGTGTGTGTGTGTGTGTGTGTGTGTGTGTGTGTGTGTGTGTGTGTGTGTGTGTGTGAGTGTTTGCTTATGTATATGAATTCTTGCCTAACTGTTAATTTGTTATACTATTAACTGCGGTTGAGCTCTCAAACCAGCGTGCCGATGCGATCTTGTCTACGACGGAGAGTATCTCACTCATGATTGGCCAGCACGGAGAGACTATTGTCAACGTAATGACAACAATCATCACAGGGAGGCGGGGAGTGAGTGGAGGGGGGGGGGGGGAGGGGGCCGGATTGTACGGACAATAACACTGACAATGGGAGTACACAACACCTATTGAAAGGGACGATACACACACACACACACACACCAGCTGCTACACCCCGGGGACCCCACGCCCTGACCTGCACCCAGCGACCATCACAGTTGTACTCCAAGAGCTAGTAGCCCCCACCCCACCACTCCCATCTATCTTTCAGCCCCTCACCAAAGACACAGCTCTTCCTCTTCCCAAAAATAGCCCTATTCCCAGCCCTCCACTCATCACGAGTCATCTCCTATTCCTAGCCCCCCCTCTCTCAGCCCTCGGCCCCCACACCAAGAGCTATTTCTTGTTTTCAAGAGCTATAACCTCTCTCCGAGCCCCCTCTTCCCCCTCTCAAAGAAACAGCTCCTGTTCTTAGGAGTTAGCCCCTCCTCCCTCCAGACTCAGCCCTTCCTCCCTCCAGACC